AAAAACGTAGAATTCGGAGTTATTGTTCCTCTAGCAAGAGCATCGCAATGGCGCAGCAAAAATCAAAGCAAAGTTGAGGCTTGATGAGATATCGCTACACGCTGAATGCAAACATATGCCACACTTTATCGTCTGGGACAGCAAACAGCTTTCGAAATGCGTGTTCAATCGTTTTGAAGGCTGTCGCAATATTTATTCTTGCAGTATTCATGATTTTAATTAAATGCTGCGAATGCTTCCACTGTTTTATTGCGAACTAAAATAAATCAGATATTTCGCGGCCATCTGCTTATTGCTGTTCTCGGTTTCACCGAGCTGTACGAGCAAAAATTCGATACCTGCTCAACAAGCATGAAAGCGAGAAGCGGTGTTTCGCCGCATCCGGCTGCAAGCAGTGCGACAATGTTTTCTTTTGCTTCCTCCAACAAATTATCACCGTGCAGCTGACTCAACGGTGCCAAACTGCGCAGTTCCAAATCCAGCCACTGCAACCAGCTCTCAAAATGAAAAGCGGAACTGCGATATAACAGCCAGGAACTGTTCAGTATAGCGCACAGTTCACTGCCATCCTGAAAATCAAGAACATCGCAGCCTCCAGTACAGTGCCGATCACAAAATGGGAAAGCATTCTTAAGAACTCGTATGTGTCACGACAAAACCCTGGCTGCAACTTATCAAATTTTGCGCTGCGATCATGCTTTTTTGAGGCAGTCAGGTAATTGACTGTATCTATCGTTGTTGCTTTAGATTTAACTGGTGCCGCCATACCCATAAATTAACATAAATTTTGCGTAAAGGAAAATGAATAATTTCAGTTAGCCGGCCTTTCAAAATGATCTAACTCTTCTGATTCTCGCTTTAGCAATTTTGTTTCCAAGAATTTCCATTATATATCAGTACGTGAGATCCATGCTACCTAAAAAGAGGATTCAAAATCTTTCGATCGCACATGGACAGAGAATATTTTCCCGATACATTAGCTACATTAGCTTGAGTTAACTAGCATGAGTTAGCAACTCTACTGTCAAAACTCTTGCATGCCCGTAGGTGAGGACAATGCGTGCCTGCGAGCTGTACATGGACAGGGGATATCCCTTCAAAATTTAAGCAAAAACTGTATTTGTTTATGTGCAAAAATTACGTAGTAAGCATCCATCCATCCCCAGCATTTCGATCAATGGTATTTTAACTTGATGAGCGGACATTTCGCTCCTGTGTGCTAAGAACATTTTGATTTACTGCATAACAGAATTTTGTATCAGGCTACGCAATTTCGAAATGGTCAGCAGCTGAAGCTGCTAGCTGCGTCGATGGGGCGGAAGAAAAAAACGTCAAGAAATATCTAGTAAGTTAGTTTTAAATTTGCATGTCCGTCGGTACTCAGGGCAATCTTGTTCGCCGTAGCTCTTATTTTTACATTCACTCTTCATAGCAGCCAGATAATACCCAAGGAATGTTAAATGGACAATCAGGAAAGCCGTCGATAAGATAGAGTAATTCACTTAGATAACACTGATGAAAAATTGGCGTCGGTGTAAGGAAGAGAAGAAACCACCAACTGCCAGATCGCTGGTGAAAGACTGAGTGACTGATCAAACTACCGAAGCAGGATGTTTTACCTGTAAAACAATCACCGGTATGCCACACTGCAAATGCGCCCGAAGTTCAGCAAGCGTTGACAGGTCACTTCCACAAAATAAAGCCACCGGTATTGGCGAGTTCTCATGCTCAGTAGGTGGTAAAAGGACTGTCTGTGATGGTGACCTGTTACTTCCGCCGCACTGTGGTACTCCGATCAATAGTGCTGAAAAACGCCCATTTATCACTAAACCATATTAAAGCCTCACTTCGCCCTTGGACTATCTTCACGGCAAGAAGTGGCTTTTTATTGAGCTTTGAAACAGTTTTACTAAGGTTATTGAACTGCAAGATTTTTTTATCTGTTTACTGGGGCTTTCACTGAAGCCAAGAGAACGCGCTCAGTAAGAATATAACGATGAGCCTTACTTGACAAAAATTCAATTTCACAGCTACGTAAACCAGAACAGTGATTAATCGAGATGTTTACAATTGTACCTGGAGTTACAGAGCTAAATCCAAAGTAAATCTTTGCTGTGACCTAACTTTTAAAGTGAGGTTTGGATTCAAGCTCTAGCTAACTTCATAAGCGGAGTGTCATGAAGAAAGTTATAAAGTACTTTCGAATTTTTACTTAACGAATAATTTAACGTGACAAAAATCTTCAGGCCTACACCCAGACTGTTTGCAACTAACTAAAAGTTAACCGTTTTACTTTACTGTCATGCAATTTGCTACTAGTGAAACTGGAGATTTAAGTCCTAGGTTCCAGTTTGGACTAATATTACAACTTTAGATAAGAATGGATTAAAATTAAGAATTTCATGGCAGCCGTACCAAGATTACCAAGTGTCCGGACGGTCGATGCGGAAGTCCCATAAAATTAGAGATTTTGACTTCTGAATGCTTGCGCGACATCTATTGCTTGTTCAATGTGTGTCTGTCCATTCTTTATGCGTTTTTGCATATACGCAAATGCAAAAGCCCATATTGGCAAGAGAATTCCTGTGTGTGTGTGTGTGT